TAAACTTATAAACTTATTATAAAGATACATTCATGTTCATGTATGTACATGGGTCTCGGTCCACTACTCACCAAATGTGCAAAATGAGAATGAATATTCCGCTAGAACATGGAAAGATACACCGCCATATTTGTTTTTGTCTTTTGTGCATGCGGAGAGTATTGGAGCGAGGGCTTATATATGTATATACATACAATCATGTATACTTAAATACATGTATGTTTGTAAAAGAAATAAAAAATAAATACATGCATGTAGATATATACACATGGTAATGAGGGGGTGAGTTTTTTTTTTTTTTTTTTTTTTCCCCCCCCTTTTTGGTGTGTGTTGTCATATTCGCTATACACTAAAAAAAAATGCATGACTGTGCTCAGACTGTTTCGTCGGACTTTCACCGACTTATCAGGAGAAGGTTGAATGTGTGTGTGTGTGTGTGTGTGTGCGTGTGTGTGTTGTGTGTGTGTTGAGTGTGTGTGTGTGTGTGTGTTGTTTTTCTTTCATGGAGCAGTGTGCATTTTCCGCTCTCCCTCTCTCTTCTTCGGCGCGTTCGTGCGGCTTTTTTTTTTTTGTTGTTGTTGTTGAAAGAGTGCGCTGAGGAACATGTACATTTGGATTTTGTAATGTTTTTTCGACTTGAAGGCATGTGCGGAGGCATCTGGCCCCTTTCTTGTCACTATGTTTTGAAAAATTAGGCCGGTTTTCCTGGGCCATTGCTTGTCACTATTTTTTGAAAAATTGGGCCGGTTTTCCTGGGCCATTGCTTGTCACTATTTTTTGAAAAATTGGGCCGGTTTTCCTTGGAGCTGCCTGCCTGCAACCGTTGCACACACGCACACACTTCTTTTTGTTCTGTTCATGAATGCGTTGCGGGTGGCCGAAACTAGTAGGGGACGCGCCAGCCTTCGCGCTCTGCGGGACGTGACTTGGATCTTCGGTCAGGGCGGGGAGGACTGCCATAGCTTGGCTATGGACTTCTGACTCGGTGCTTCACTCTGTATTTTGATCGAGTCTATTCGAGATTGTTTATCCACATGCTCAGCCGTGGTCAAGCACGGTCATGTGTTTTGTCAGTCTGTTGACGTCATCTCTTCACTTATCATCATCATCATCATCATCATCATTTATTCATTCGTTCATTTAGTCATTCATGTATTCATGTATTCAGTCATATATTAATTTTTCAAGATGAACAAAAGCATCAGATAACGATGACAAAAGTGCGTCTAACGCATGCGCTTTAAAAAAAATAAAAAAATAAACTGACCAACTTTTGCCTCAGGGTCACATCGAAATTCTTCACCAAATTTCGAATAAAAATTACAAATTAAAAATATTATATTATTATATTTTTTTATTTTTTTGCCCAGCCGGGCAAGTGACCCCGGGCCACTCTGGTAGCCTAACATATGCGGTAATTGCGGAAATGGTTTTATACATTTTTGCGATAATAATTTCGGTAATCGATCGAACGATCGAACGGTCGAGCGAACGAACGAACCTACATTTGCGATCGATCGATCGATCTAGAAGCTTCGTCGAATATGCTTCAAGAATCGAATAACGACAAAAAAGGATCTCAATCATATCGGTAGAGAAGGGCGCCCCCCCCTTCCCGAAAAAAAAAAAAAAAAACCTGCATCTCTGCGAAGCAAATGTGACCAAGAACGAGCGAGCCCAGGGGCCAAGTCCCACTAGCAGCGTTGAGCTACCTCAACGCCTGAATGTGGACGCTTTTGAGGAGATGTGCGAAATTGGTGTTGAGTTTCCTGAACTGCACGTCTCCACAAACACGTCCAGATTCAGGCGTTGAGGTAGCTCAACGCTGCTACCTAGTGGGACTTGGCCCCAGCTCAGTTGGTACACCCATGAAAAGTACAGACTCGATGAATGCATTCAGATGAACTAGATGAATGAAATACAACAAAAAAAAATATTATTTATTTATTTATTTTTGAAAAAAAAAATCTGAAAATAATGACATCTCAAGGCCATCGTCGCCCTTTTCTCCTTTTTTTTCTTTTTTTTTTAAGTGTGAAAAAAACGAAAATCGAAGGTGACAAGCGTGGGAGCTGCTGGCAGAACCGGCAGCACCAATAGAGGGCCTCGCCTTACTACCCGCCGAAAAAAAATTGGAAAAGAAATGGAGCATGTATCTTCCGCCTGAACGTGGAAAGGTACACCCACCATAGCTTGTGAATGCTGCCGCGAGGCCGAGAGTGAGCTGCAGTAGGACTGAAGCTCAGATGACGAGGGGAAAAAAATCAATCATCAGTTGACAAATGGCTTACAGTGGTTGCAGCACTCGCCATCCGCCAACATTTTGCATGCATAAGGACAAATTCCCTGCTCAGATTCATTCAAAACGCTGGCGGATGGCGATCCGCCAACATTTTGAATGCATAGGGACAGTTTCCATGTTCAGATTCATTCAAAATTTGGGCGGATGACGAGTGGTGCACCACTCGCCATCCGCCAGCATTTTGAATGCACGGGGACAAGTTCCATGTTCAGATTCGTTCAAAATGTGGGTGGATGACTACTAGTGCAATTAGGCCCAAAATTAAGCGGAAATTAAACAAAATGGATGGAAAAGGGAGGACAACTATCCGAGGCAATCACCCCATTGGCGAGACCTCGCTTGCTCACTTAATCCTCCCCCTTCTCCCCTATCTATTCGTGGGGAGGCAATACCAACCACTTTTTTTTTTTTTTTTTTTTTTCCTGCAATACCGACCACTATGTACTGGTAGACGGTTGCTTTTGTTTTGTCAACTTCGTGTTTATATTTGGCCTTATATTAACCGTTTTATTTTCAATTTATTTAGGGCAAAAAAAGTATTATTTTCTGAACGTCGTCAGAGTCATCGGGCTTCGCCACAGTTCTCACGGAATTGTCCTTTGCGACGTCCGTTAAAAGGATTGGGAAAAAAAAAAAAAAAAAAAAAAAGTATTGAAACGATACAGGGAAAGAAGATTATTAGCATGGCCCCTCCCTGCGCTGTCTTAGATGACAACAACAACACACACACACAAACACAAAAAAAAAAACAAAAAAAAAAAACGAAACGGAAGAAATGCGAGTGCATGGCCGACGAGTACATCCGTTACTATTTATAGCAACACAACGCATGTACCTTGCCAGTTTTTTTGCAACGATGCACTCGCGTTTCTTTTCGTTTCGTGAAGAAGTGTGTGGCGAGGTACATGGCCAACTTGTTCCCATTGCGATCTCCGTCAGCATCGGGATCGAGGAGGAATCTTTTGTTTTCCTCCTTCCCTCCGCCATCTCTCCATAATCGTTGCAGCGATTTTTTTTTTTTTTTTTTTTTTTTTTTTGTTGCAGCGATTTTTTGTTTTGTTTTGTTTTTTTAATTTATTTCCCATCCTTCATCATAATCGTTATTTTCCATGATTATCGTCGTCGTCTTCTTCTCTTCTTCTTTTTATCCTCATGGTCCTCTCCCCCCCTCCCTTCCCCCCGGGCTCCGCTCCCCTCCTTTCTCTCCCTCCTTTCTGTCTGCTTTGTCTAGTCCTTCCCCCCTCCTCATATGCTCCTCTCTTTCATCAAACACGGAGGGTAACGGAGCGTAACGGAGGGTGGCGGAGGATAACGGAAGGTAACGGTGAGGATTCATAGTCGCGTCTCGGCGTTTTCTGAGTTGACGAGGAAAGCCAATGACTGACGGGATCTCGATGTCCCCCTCCGCCAATGGCTGTCGTTATCGACCTGCAGGGTATCGCACCACATAAACTGTCGGGGTCTCGATGTCGAGATCCCGCCAGCCAAAGGGTGTAGCATCACGCCATATTGCCCCTCCGTTGGACAACGGTGTTGCACTATATCCCCCCTCCGTTATCCTCCGTTATCCTCCGTCATCCTCCTTTGGCTGGCATCACATTGCATTATGTCCCCCCTCCGTTGTCCTCCGTTACGCTCCGTTACGCGCCGTTACGCTCCGTTACGCTCCGTGATCCATTAGCCTGCGGGGTATCACCGCACTATGACGCTACGTAACCCCCTTGGGCAAGCCGATGCATGTCTGAATGAATGGCCAATTGATTAAGGGCCTTGCCACACCACGCGCTCCAAATGTGAAAAGACAAAAATGTGGCGGGCGCATCTGGCCATGTTCTAGCGGGAAGTTCATTCTCCTTTTTTTGCACACTTCGAGAGTGGTGTGGCGATGCCGAAAATTTATGAAGGCAATTTGGCCATTGCTTGCCACTTTCGCATGTTAAGTAACGAAACTGATTGAAATAAATAATTCCATTGATTCATATTATTGTCATCATAATGTCAAGAATTGACTCATTAACGATCGGTACGCTACCAGAGTGGCCCGGGTCCACTTGCCCGGCCGGGCCAAAAAGATATAAAAAAATAAAAATTATTTTTTAATTAAAAAATTTACTTTAAATTTGGTAAGGAATTTCGATGTCGCCCTGAGGCAAAAGTTGTTCGGTTTATTTTTCTGCATAACATAGTTTTTTTTTCGGTTTTTTTTTTTTTTTTTTGGCTGGGACCTTCCCTGGCCCTTGCACGGCCGGGCCGCCCGGGAAAATAGGGTGACCCGGGCGGCCTGGCTGGTAGCCTAGCTCATGAAGTAATTAATTTATAAATTCATACATTATTGTAAGAAAAATTCATGCTGAATATTGCTGTTGGTTTGGCTTGGTTTGGGTTGGTGGGGGTGGGGGTCCTGCTTGTCCGTCTGTGCGTTTCCCTCCCTTTTTTCTGAAATTCACAGTGAGAAAAAGACCAAGAGCCGGACGAGTACGGGGGTGAGGTTTTCTGCTCCTCCCCCCCCCCCCCGCCCCTCCCTTCGGCTCCTTACCTTCTCCTCCCTTCCGGGCGAAAGGGAGAATTCAAAACAAGGTGCCTTGTTCGTTTACGTCTTAAATTCTCTTAATGGAGAGCAGCAGGAGGGGGGGGTAGCTGTTCTGCCTCCCCTGGGAAACGCCGGCAGGTGATCTTAAAGCAGCCATAGGAGGAGAAAGGAAGACAGGGAGGAGAGAGGAGAAAGACCACTGGCAGCTGTCCTGAAGTTTCAACCAAAAAAAAAAAGAAAAAAAAAAAAGCACCACCGCCATGAATGCTGCCATTGCATTCGGTAGTGTGTCCCGTTTGCAACCCTTGGGGGTCAGATGCTGTGCCGGGGTCTGGACTGGGAGGAGCAGTCATGGCACTCATGGCACTTGCGGTCATGCTGCTGCTGCTGCTGCCACGTGGCACAAAATCAGCTGCAAGCAATTGGAGATTGCATCTGCTCTACGAAGATGTGGGCGAAAGGTCTGCTCTGAGACTCTCCTTTGCTGCATTATCTATTCACCCTTGATGTATTACTTTTCATCCTGCCCTTGCTGAAGTTGCTGCACTACCTGTTCTCTCCGTTGGTACATCACCTATTCTCTCTTGCTGCGCCCTTGCTGCATTACCTAGTATTCTCTACCAGGCTGCAGTGCCTATTCTCACCCTTGCTACATGTCCTAGTATATTTCTCCCTTGCTACATCACCCCCATTCACTCCTTGGTGCATTAGCTATTCTCCCTTCCTTGCTGTATTACTTATTCTCTCCCGTGCTGTGTATAACTTATTCTCTCCCGTGCTGCCTTTACCTAAATTGATCTCTCCCTTGCTGCATGGACCTATTCTCTCCTTCGCTGCACTATCTATTCTCTCCCTTGCCGCATCCCCTACTATTCTCTTCCTTGCTGCGGAACTTGCTCAATCCAGATGCTATTCAGTTGGTTAGTTGTGCACCCTATTCTCCCTTGCCTTTGTTGGTGTATTTCTCTCACATCTGTTTCAGAATCTCCTCCCTCTCAACCCCCCCACTCCTCCCTCTCCCCCCCCCCCCCCCCCCC